ATCTGATAGTTCCCTTTTGATCAGATTAAGGTTAAATCCAATGGCAAGAATACCACAAAAGTGATGTTATTTCTTTCTCATTACATCACATTAGAAGGCACATAATGGGTAAGTTTGATGGTTATGGTGGTGTCCACCAGTTCTCTCCACTGAAAAGGTACTTTTTCTCCTTTGTGATTAATAAGTAATATGTGGGACCATGTGACTATCCTTTTCCCCAGCCATCTTTTACCTGATGGTCTGGTCTTAGTGTGCCTTGATGATTCTTGTCCTTCCAAATCTCTTTTAAATCCACTCCAATCAGGCTCTCATCACCATCACTCTATCCAAGTTGCTTGTCAAAGTCACCAATGACCTGCATTTTGCCAGATCCAATCATTTCATAGTCCTCTTCTTATTAGGCCTATTAGTGGCACTGACTCAGCTGATCAACATTTTTAGGAATACTGTTCTCACTTGGGATCTGGGACAGTGCTCTCTGGGTTCTCCTTTACAGACTATGCTGGATTCTTCCCCATCTTTCACTGGTCCAATGTCCCTGATCTAAACCAGGTCTTGCCTGAATTATTACTAGACACAGCCTCCTAACCTGTTTGCCTGCTTCTACCCTGCCCTACCCTACAATCTATTCTCAAAACAGCAGCCAGAGAGATACTTTAAAAATATAAATCAGATATTACACTAATATGCAAAAACCTTAAAAGGCTTTCTACATCACCCTATTTAATAACCCAAGTCCTACCCACAGCCTTCAGACCCTACAAGATCATGACCCCTCCTGCCTGTTACTTCACCCCTTACCACTATCTTGATTTGCTGTAGCACAGTCATATGCTCCTGCACAGAGATCTAGCTCTAATAGCCTCCTTGATATAATATTTCATAAGTATGGAATGTACTGCTGCCTTGGGGTTTTGCCCTTATTATTTCCTTTGTTTCAAATACCAGAGAAGTAACTACCTGGCTTGCTCCTTCATTCTCTTCAGGACTCTATTCAAATGTCACCTTTTCAAAGGTGCTTTCCCTGACCACTTTACTTACCAGTCCCTCTTTATCCTCCTAACCTTGTATGCCACCCCCGGCCCCAAAGGACTTATATATACACCACCTGTATATAGTCTGTTGAGTTCACCTCTATATCCCCAGAACCTAGAAGAGTATTTGCTGTGTAATAGGAATTCAGTTATTTATAGACTGAATATTTGTTAAATGATGGACTGTTTATATATTTTATTTCATAACCTGTGATGGTGAAATGAATTATCTTTGGGAATCCTGCACTATAATATACCTTTGTGCAAAGATATCAACTCACAAGCTTACTGCTCTGGTACTCAATTCCTTCTTTATTTCTGGCCCCTTGGGATTTTCTGTTTGTCTTATGAGTTCAGCTATACATTTAAAAAAATCTTAATGATCATTCTAGCATTCTAGGTGTTTATAGCAGGATAATTTTGTTATTGTAATGTGCCAAACCCTAGAGCCTGTTACTCCAAGTAAAAAATATTTTCTGCAATGTGAAAATGTGTAAAGAAGAAAAAAAAAATTTCAGAAAGGGCGGCCCTTCATCATAATTGATCCAGATACTGCCAAACGACAAGGCAACCTGCCAGGCTGTTTGTTGGACTCTTCTGTCATGGAAGGGGTAGCAGTATGCCTTCACTGAAAGAGAATCTTACTCTGGATATGAATTTCCCTTCCCTATACCTATGTTTCTGTCAGCCCACCATCTGTGGACATGCTGAATGCTTTTTTTAACCATCATGGCATCCTACAAAACATTTCTGGTGACCGTGGAACTGATTGTGAGGAACTGAGAGAAGGCTTATGCCCACAGGATTCACTAGTCTTATGTTTTCTATCACCCTCAAGTAGCTAGCCTGAAAGAAATATGGACTAGGCTACTGAAGACTCAGGTATAGCACCAGCTGGGTGACATCTTATGGGGCTAGGTTTCTGACTACAAGATCCTGTGTATGCCCTGAAACAGGAAGCAGTAACTAATTTCTCCCATAGTCAAAAATCTAGGACTCAAGGGACAGATGTCTCATTAATACCCCTAATGGCCCACAAATAAAATTTTTGCTTGTCACCACTAGTTTATTAGTTTAAAGATCCTAGCCTAGTTCCCAAGGCGCTGGAGGGGAGAGAGAAGAGGCAATGTTCTGCCAGGGGATATAACAATAATTTCACGAAGCTAGAAGCTGAGACTGGCACTTGGTCATTTTCAACTCCTCATACCCTTGAACCAGTAGGGTTGTATGATTTATTTTGATTAGCAAGGGAAATACAGTTACTATTATACAATGGGACCAGGGAGGAGATGTCTAGAACTCAAGGGATTTTCTATAGGTCTCTCTTAGTATTCTCATGTGAAGAGGAAAAAACTTAATGGAAGACACTATTAATCCATTACAGCAGGATCACTAATGGCCCAGAATCTTAGAAAAAAAAAATGTTTGTGTCATGTGCCAGTTAAAGAATCCCAACAAACCAAAGTGCTGGTATCAGCTATTCTATTATCATTTCTGCAACAGGTCATGTGGCCACAGGTTTTATTTTTAACTTCCTATTTCTACTTTCCATTCCACAAGTTCTCTATCTACATCTTGTAAGACTATAACCTAGCACTGCAAAGTACTGTCACCACATGGTACCACAGCTGTGTCCTCAATAGCCCATTGTGCCATTTTAGCAGGCTACTTGACATAGTTGGTCAGAGAAAAAAAAATAAAACACAGAAACAAACCAAAAAGAAGAAAAACTATTTCATGGTTAAAGTGCTACAGTCTCCCCCAAAACAGAAACAAAACCAGAGATTTTATTCTACCTTTCAAGACTGGATATCAGAATTTATATAACACTAATAGAGAACCATACCTAAGGGAGGTAGTGGAAAGAACATTCGACTAATAGGCAGAAGACCCTGAGTTCTAATTCCAGCTTTACTGTTAACTAGAGGTATGAACATAAAAAATTAAAAAAAAATCATATAACTCTTGAGTCTCACCACATATGTAAAATTAAAAAGTTTCTAAATGTTTTTTATTATACTCATAGGCAATTTTTTTAAAGCTTTATAATATTTCCTTCAACCAAAATCTTACAAAGGAGTGCATTATGTAAAATTAATAAAATAATGATAATGGGGCCAGCCGAGTGGCGCGATGGTTAAGAACTGGCTTGGGACGCCAGAGGGCCCTGGTTCAGATCCCACATATGAGGGCCAGTGACACTGCCCTCCACAGCTAAGATGCTGAACAACAGCTCAACCTGGAGCTGGGCTGCCCTGAGTCACCAGCGACGGCGTAGGCTGCAGCCCCTGTGGCAGTGGGTTGCCATGGGCTACTGTGTGTAGCCAGCAGCCAGCGTGAACGGCCAGCAGCCGCAGTGAGCGGCCGTCCAGAAGCCGGCGACTGATCTGCCTCGCCCAGGAAGAGCGCAATGATGGTGCCAACTTGGGCTAATGAAGCAACGTCCTCCACAACTAGACTGAAGAACAAGACGACAGCAACTTGTCTGTTCCCCTTCCCCCAATTCCCCAGTGCTGTTCCCATCCCCCAACTCCCCAATAAAAAATCTTTAAAAAAATATTGATAATGGGGTGTATGTGTGCGTGCCCTACTTCCACTACATGGCCTTAAGACACCACAGCAGAGTGCATAGTTTCAGACCTAGATGATAAATGAAATCCCCGACAATTTAAAAATTCCATAATTTTCATAACTAATTGACTTTGAAATAAAAAACGCTTCTCTGTGTGACCCTACAAAGCAAATTAAAACCAAATTAAAATGGAAATTTATGTAAACTTGGAAATTGTGTTGTAAAATTGAAATGAAGGGTAATGATGTAATGATAAATGCAATCAGAAGATGGCAGACTTCAAAATATTTAGAGAAAGAGTGTAATAATTTTTGTTTGTTTGTTTAGGGTATATATTTGGAGGCACAAGAAATCTAGTACATACACAATAAAAGATTTCTAACTGGCAGAAAAAGTCTGGTATTTGCAGCAGGTAAATTCATAGCTTGTGATTACAAATTAAGATTATCCAGATAGTTTAAAAGAAGATGTGCAGCTAACACAAGTATTCAGATCTCTGTGGTAAGAATATAATCCACTGTTTTACTGGCTTGGTTAATTGGTTCATAAAACAGTATCTTATGAGTATGGTCAGCTCAAATCAAATCCTTTACTTAATAAAGATCAAGGCAGTATTTTCCAATTAATTTGTTTGGCTTTTAATAATAGTAAGATAAACTCTTCATAAAATTATTTTAAAGCCTAAGTATTTAAACTTTTAATAAAAAATCAAAATCATTTATGTTAGATTCGGATGTGTAGTCTTACTGTTATTCAAGTATATGAGAATATATATAAAAATTCACTTCTGGAAACTGCCCCCAGCTTCACTAGGTCCTAGACTTTTGTGTTAGATTTGAGTTCACTGTTAAACCAAGTTAGTATAATAGTTGGATACTGAAACAAGAATAACAACTTATCCAAAAAACACACTATATCCCAGGAATTACGTGGAGATAATTACAGTGTACTGACACTTAAGAATAAATTCTTAGTTGGGGGTGCTCTGACTCTGCTAAAATAATGACTGTATTAAAGATTTCAGTATAGGGTTTAAAAGCTTATATACTTCTACTCAAAGTAAGCATCTATATGATGCAGTACTAATTTGGAAGAATGAACAACAAATAGGAACAAAATATCTCTCTTACTTGGCCATTTATACACACTTAGGTTTGTCCCATATTTCCAATTGTAAGGAAAAGACCCTGTGATCAATAAACCAGTGTTTCTCTATCCATCAAAAACCATCACGATTGCTGACCAGCTAAATGGTTTCATAAAGTTTCTACCACCATCAATATTGTAATGTAACATAATTTTTTGTAATGTCCTTGAAAGCAATAAAAGCATTTATAGTAAATACATTTATTTAACTTTTTTTATTATAAAATATTTAAAAATTCATGACTCACCTTCCAAGCATGATAAGTACCAGAGGGATCAGTCTGATATAACCTTGGGATACCATCATCATCAAAACCTACAATTAAGGCAGAAATACCAAAAGGTCTTCGCCCATTGCTTTGAGTGTATTTCTGAAAAATAAAATGTTTTCGTAACTACTTTCTGTGTAAGGCCACAAAAAGGATAACACTATTACTTATCAAGCAACAATTTCTAATATTAAATAAAGTATTCTTGCCAAAATAATCTTCTTTATTGATTCTTATTCTGTATAGCTTTAAGATCCTCTTCCTGACTCTCTGGACTAACCTCAAATCCATGATGAAATTTTTAAGGAATTAATGTACACAGTCTATAAAATAAAATAATAAATTTGCTTATATATGGTCTTAAAACTGTTTTCTTGTTGCTTTATGTACATTTTGGTAACATAACTAGATTGCAATCTTTTTAATACAGCAGAGAACTGTGTATGTCACACCATTTTGGTTCCCAGGAAAGCTGACTTCAGCAAGCTCTGCTTTGAAAGCACTCCTTGGTTTACTTTGGGAGACACTGCAATTGTTACTATTATTATCAAGTATTCTTACTTGATACTATTATTATCAAGTATATCCTGTTCACTATATACTAAGTTATCTCTACATAAAATCCAACTAAGACATTTCTGTCAGGTCCAAAACAAGGAAACCTTTGTTTCTCTTGAAGAAAAAGCAAGATTTTTCCTCACAGACAACAGGGCACTGAAAACCAATTGTATTTCTTTTTATTTCATTGCCAGGAACTTCCTGGATTTGTGCTCCAGGGAGTGGAATTCAACTAATTCTGAGACTGGTACCTCTAGGAGTTGTGCAAAGAGGCAATCCTGACAGAAACCTCAACACCACATTTGTAGGCAGCTTTAGAAACTGTATGTAATTATATGGCTTGAAATAGCTTTATGTTGTACTAGCTTTCTTCCTGGACTTGTCTATGTATCCTATTGTTTTGTTTTTACACTTTATTATATATGTATTTTTATAAGCCGCTTCAAATTATGAATGCCAATAACCGGGCTACACAAACATAAATAAACGCTTAAAAAAATAGGATTTATGTCTTAATTTCTTTGTATATCATAATGTTCCTATATTATACCAAAATATGAAGTAGATGCTTTGTAAATACCTTTGAGGAGAGACCATTTTACTTTATTTGCTTAACCAACCACTTTTTAAATGAAAAAGTAATACATACACAGGGTTAAAATAATTTAGAAGTTACAAAGGTATATCTAAAGCATATCTCTTTTTCATCACAGAACCAGGTACCCTCCTCCCCAGTGGCAACTTCACTGTTTAGGTTTGAAATGTATATTTCTATAAATGTGCTATGCATAACATTTATATTTCTAGAAGAAAAACTAAAAACCACAATTGAGAACCTTGTACACACAATGTATTACACCTTTCTTTTTGGTGTATACCTTTAGAGCCTCTGGGAAAATCAAAGCAAATGAAGAAATGTAGAACAACATAAAAATGTGGGACTTCCCTGCAACATTAATTAAAATTTTAAAATAGAGCAATTTTTAATAAGTATGTAATTTAAAACTTCATTATCTCAAGTATACAGTCTATAAAAAAATCTCTACATGGACAAATGGCAAAAATCCATGCCAGAAAGTGTCCTAAATATTTCAAATGTATCATATCATTTAATCCAACTCAACAAAATAGGTATTACTGTAATGCTCACTTTATAAGTAAGAAAATTGAGGCAAAACAGGCTAAATAGTTTGGCCAAAACACTAACTAGGAAGTAGCAAAGCCAGCATTCAAACCCCTGGCTCCTGGGGGCACATTCTTAACCGCTAGAGTGGCTGTCAAAAGGAAAAATAGTTTATGCTAGGAGAAATGAAAATAACAAACCAACATGTGGGAAAAAATCGACTTCACTAATTATAAAATAGAAATTAAAACAACTATACAGCACTATGTTATACTTATTTGCTAAATAAAAGAGAAATGAAAAACCCAATGCTGCTGATCCTTCAGGGATACATTTATGCATTGTTGGTTGCACAATAAAAATTGGTTCAATCTTTTTAGAAAGTAATTTAGCTACATATAACAAGAGTCTTAAAACCAATTATAATCTCAAATCTAGCAATCCCATACTGAAAATTAACTTAACAATATAATTCAAAAAAGAAAAATAAGAGCTGGGGCAAAGATAATATTATCAAAGTAGCAAATTGAGGGCCAGTAAGCATAAGCGAGAGTGCTCCAGAGTGAGAAAACAAAAGAAACTGGAAACAACCTAAATAATTACCAGATAGCAACCAGAAACAGTATAACAGGCATACGTCAGAGATATTGCAGTTGGGTTCCAGACCACCACAATAGAGTATTGCAATAAAGTGAGTCATAATCTTTTTGCTGGTGGAGAGTCTTGATTTCAATTTGTAGTAAATAAAACATCTGTGAAGTGCAATAAAGCCAGGTGCAATAAAATGAGGTATGCCTCTATATAGTTAGTAAGAATAAGGACTATGTAGACATATATAAAAACCATGAAAATAAGTGAAAAATTACTTGTATACACCATGCTTATACTTAATGTTAAACCATGTATCTACTCATGGATTCAGAAGTCACATCTAAACCAATTCAGTTGTGTTTAGGTTTGTAGGTAAAAGAATCATGGGTATTGCTTTAGTAAACTAAAAAATGGTTCTCATTACTCTATCTCCAGAAGTGAAGAAATCCCCTTAAAAGATTAGATTTATTGCTCTTTTAAATTTTAATATAATTTCCAGAACTGATACTGATTGAGATTCCTAGTGATCAAATCAATCATTACAACTGGAGTAAGAGTATGAGTATGAAGTAAATGTGAGAAAGAATAAGGAATTTAGTAGACTTAGTAGATTAAATGATTGAAATGACTGTGGTATTTCTATGATTGGACTTATAATGATAAAAGAGAAAACTTGAAGAAATCTGTTGGAATATTGGCTTACCTGCTTTAAGGTTGCTATGAAGCGAGTTATATATTCTACAGTGACTGGGTCCTCAACTGTAAGCTTATGACTCTGGCACTCCACGCGGGCTCTGTTTATCACTACTCGAGCATCAGCAGTCAGTCCTGTAAAAGTAGTTGATACATAACTTATCAGAATAACTACAAAAGAATGACTTTTTTCCTTGTCAAAAGGGCTTTAGCTACCATAAAATACTTCTTATAGTGTCCTTTGTTTTTCTCAATGTATGTCCATTGTAAAAAATTTGTAAAACAGAGTACGAGTTACCCGACATTCTGATTTATTTCCTTCAGGACTTAATTTGATGCATTCTTCTTTCTTTTTTTTTTTAATGGCTTTAAAGAATAATGGTTAAACATTAATGTTAAGTAAATTATTTCCCAAAGATTAAAATGGTTTAATTCACAGTAGCTGAGCTGGTTATTAGGTTTTATTAAGTATGTTTTTAAAATCTCTGTAGTCATTATTTTTAAAACTTTTTTGGAGAAGATATTAACGGCAGACTGTTCAAAGGTTGATGGTCTATCCTGGTTCAAAAACCAATATTTTTATTGCCAAAACCATGAAGTTGGATTTCTTATGAAAACAATGACTATTGCTTCATTATCAAACACATATTTATTGAATTCAAATTTCATTGAATGTAAGTGTAACATCACTTCTCAGCTTTTGTCTAGGATTACAGGTTTGAAAATTAAGAATGTTAAAACAGAAAAAGAAAACACTCTTACTTTTGTCATACCAAAACATCATGTAATTAATTCCCAACCTTCAATAAGGATATAAATGTGTTTCTATTAAAAAAACATTTCTATTAAAGACTTCTTTGGTATTTGACCTTCCCATTGACGTTTTGTTTCTTTCCTCACCCTCTAAATACCACGTTGCCCAAAAAATTCATTCATGAAGTCTCTGAAACAGCTATTTCTCATATAACCATCAGTCTTTCACAGTCACAAACTCTTGTTCCCCTTCCAGGTCATTTAAATTCATGTTTCTACAAACCTGGAAGAATTGCCAGTCCTTGAAGATGGTTAATAGTAATCAACAATGAAGAACCTGTTAGAATATCCCACCTTAACGCTCTTGGGTAGGGTGGGAATCACAATTAGCTAGTTAAAGGAAGAGCAACTGATTCTCTTCTCAGCAAATGTTAGCTGAGAGAAAAAAATGGGAGGAGATTAATTTAGCCTTTTCTGTGAATTAAAAGCTTCACTCAATTAGAAAATTTTACCAGAAAGATTTCTAAGCATTTCCCCTTTATAATGTAGTATGATCCAAAACTGCAGAAATATAAAAGTATCATACTTACAAAGTAGTAGCATACCTGATTCAAACAAAAAAATTAGTGATAAATTTGCCAAATTACATGAGTAGCATAGTTCTGTGCATGTATCTATTTTTAACCTAAGTAGCAATTATACTAATCAAAACTAAATGAGTAGGAAAAAGAGAACAAATTCTATTTAAAGAGCATTGAAAATTTCAATTTCATTTTGTTTATAAACAAGCAATTAAGGAAATGAGTTCTCAGTCTAGTGCTTTTAAATTTATACCACAACTTTACCTTGAAAATGCTATCATAATGTAAAATTTCTACTATTAAACAGAATTCCACATGCTACATGAAACAATTATTTTTTTCAAAGTCTTTGTTTTTTTCCTAAGGGCTGTTTTCCAAATGTTAAAAGCGCAATATAACAACATCGACAAAAGAATCTGTTTTTTCAAAATATAATTGTGTTTCTTTCTGATATGTGCTCACTGTAAAATATTCCATCAGAGTAGCAATAAGAGATATCATACAATTCCACAATATGTAAACAGAACTGTTATTATACATATTCTTTTGTAACTTATTTTTAATGTATATTATGGATACTTACCCATGTCAATACATACAGATCCTACTACCGCCTTTTTTAACTGTGGCTAAATAATAATAATATGATGATGATGATGATGATGTAGTAGTAAGAATAGTTAGTGGTAATAGTAACATTTGTTAAACACTTACATATGCCAGACATTGTTCTAAAGGCTTCTTATGTATTAACCCAATTAATCCTTGTAGCAATCAGTAAGGTAGATACTATCATTAACCACATGTTACAGATGACTAAACTGAAGGAAGGAGTTGCCCAGTCACAGGTATAGTGGATAATGGAGTCTGTCTTAGAACCCAGTTGTTATGATTCCAGAGCCTGTGCTTTTAAACAATTGTATGGATATACCATGATTTATTATACCAATTCCCCAATAATAGACATTTAGGTATTTTCCAATTTCAAAAATAAATTAATATGTAAGGAGAATATTAGTAAATCTTTTACTCTGCTAAAGTTATATACATGTTCAAATTATTTTTATATTAAAGTCAGAAAGGTATGTGTTTCAGAAGTTACAGCATTCCATCATTTATATTAAGATGACTCCTTTAAAAAAATGTTATTGTAGTAAAGTATATGTAACATAAAATTTATCATTTTAAGTGTACAGGGCAGTGGAAATAAGTACATTTACACTGCTGGACAATCATCACCATCCATCTGTAGGACTTTTTTATTTTACCAAACTGAAACTTTGAATACATAAAACAATAACTTCCCGTTTCCTCTAACCCCAATAGCACCCCTTGCAACAACCATTTTTTCCTGCCTCTATGACTCTGACTACCCTAGGTATCTCATATAGTAACTGTCCTATTGTGACTGTATTTCACTTAGCATGTATTCAAAGTGGACATTCAAGTTGCTGTCCTTTTGTTCTTCAGTCTAGTTGTGGAGGACGTCACTTCACTGGCCTATGTTGGTATTGTGATCATTGCACTCTTCCAGAATGAGGCAGATTGGTCGCCAGGTCTGGACGGCCGCTCACAGCGGCTCTTGGCAGCTCAGGCTGGCTGCCGGCAGCTAACGCTGGCTGCCTGCCAGTCATGGTAGCCCATGACAACCCACTGCAGCAAGGGCTGCAGCCTATGCCATCGCTGGCGACTCATGGCAGCCCAGCTCCAGATCAAGCTGTTGTTCACCATCTTAGCTGTAGAGGGCAGTGTCACTGGTCCTCATGTGGGATCCAAAAACTGGGGTCCTGCTGCTCAGAGCTGGCATCCCAAGCCAGCTCTTAACCAACATGCCACTCGGCAAGCCCCAAAGTGGACATTCTTGATTTATTCCTAATCTTAGAGGAAAAGCGTTCAGTTTTTCATCATTGACTATGATGTTTACTGTGGGACTTTCATATATGACATTTATCATGTTGAGGTAGTTTTCTTCTACGCCTAGTCTGTTGAATGTTTTTGTATTAAGATGGTGTTGAATTTTGTCAAATTATTTTTCTACATCAATTGAGATGATCATGTAGTTTTTCCCTTCATTCTGGTAATGAGGTATATTACAGTGATTGACTTTAATATTTTGAACTACCCTTGCACTCTGGGAATAAAATTCCTTAGTCATAGTCTATAATCCCTTTAATACTGCTGAATTTGGTTTGCTAGTATTTTGTTAGGATTTTTTCATCGATATTTATTGGACTGTAGTTATCTTTTCTTGTAGTGTCTTTGTCTAGTTTTGGTATTAAAGTAATACTGACTTCATAGAATAAGTTTGGAAGTGTTCCTTCCTCTTCAATTTTTTGGAAGCATTTGAGAAGGATTGGTATTAATTCTTCTTTAAATGTTTGGTAGAACTCACCAGTGAAAACATCTGGTCTTGGGCATTTTCCTTATTGAGAGGTTTCTGATTATTGATTCACTCTTTACTTTTTACAGATCTGTTGAGATTTTCTATTTTTTCTTGAGTAACTTCAAGTAATTTGTCCATTTCTTCTAGGTTATCTCATTTGTTGGTGTATGACTGTTCATAGTACTCTCATAATCCTTTTTATTTCTGTAAAATCACTAGTAGTGTCCCCTTTTTATTTTAAATTTATTGGGGTGATATTCGTTAGCAAAATTACATAGGCTTCAAGTGTACATTTCTATAATACATCATCTATATATCACATTGTGTGTTCACCACCCAGAGTCAGTTCTCCTTCCATCACTAGATATTTGACCCCTTTACCCTCCTCTACCACCCCACCTCCCCCCCACCCCCTTACCCTCTGGTAACCATTAAACTGTTGTCTATTATTTTTTGTTTGTTTCTTTGTCTTGTTCGTTTCTTGCTTTCAGTTGTATATGCCAAATAAGAGTGAAGTAATAATGTTCTTGACTTTTTATTTTTTACTTATTTTGCTTAGCATGATAATCTTGAGATCTATCTATGTTGTCACAAATGGCAGTATTTCATCTTTTCTTATGGCTGAGTAATATTCCATTGTCTATATGTACCACATCTTCCTTATCCAGTCATCTATCAAAGAACACTTTCGTTGTTTCC